GTAAACGCCATCTGTAGTACGATGCTACATTTTAGGATTACGTATGCTCCAACAAGGTCCATTTAAATATATGGATATCTACTTACTGAAACGAATCCCGGCGTAGCTAACCTCAACGTGATAGGCACGTTACCATAATCGAATAAAATAATTCAGTCTGTAGGAGCTGTCTGCGACGCGCTGATGAGATCCAAAAAGATCGAAATCGCGATCCGCGTCTGACCACTTCGAATTATTTTATTCCATTCTATTAATCGTTTAATTTGACCAGAATAAGTTATTATAGGAAGTGATATGCAGTATTTTGTTAAATAAGAACGTAAATATTTTCTAGTTATTCTCCGAAGTGGTTATCAATCCGATTCACGCAAAGCATTTTAAGCATTTTAACAAAATGTATTTTGTTGTCTGAAATAAATGCATCGACTGAACGAGTATTTTGTTTAATGGAAGAATCATAGCCAGTTCTGAAAGCGATGTTGATTTGTTGATAACATTTTCAGTTAAAGACATCACAACGTATGTAAATACAAATCTGTTAATCAGAAAAAATAGAAATGATGAAGTGGCTTTTTAAACATTTTGATTTATTTTATCAAGGTATTGAGTTGATGAAACTTTTAATTGTTTAATTAATTAATTTAATTAAATACACAATTTTAGATATCCAGCATTCTTCCACTTGAAGAAACTATACGGTGCGGTAAAATGGTCAAAGTAGTCAAATAAATTATTTTATATTAATTATTAAAGTATTATTTGATTTAAATTAAGTATTATCTTAAATAAATGTTCCCAATGTATAAGATTAGCTTTTCTTATTGTGGGACTATCACTGGTGCTGCAATTTTGGCATCTTAGGTTAGGTTAGTACACAATATACTGAAAAATGTATTGGTTGGATTAAATTCGATCAAATAACTTAAAATAACCGTTTTTATGTTTAAACTACAACAAGTAACTGGTTATTTTGTCTTTGTTTTGCAGTTCCACCGCAAGGAGTACAAATCACGGACGAACTGGGAATCCCCATAAAGAATGGAGTGACGAAGGCTTACGCGGCCGGCGCTAGCCTGATATTGATCTGTGTGGCAACCGGCGGTAAGCCATTGCCAACTGTTGCATGGTCTCGTGACGGCGAAATCGTTACAAACGTAACTCAGCATTTCCCTGAAAGATTCCGTTCGCAAAACATCTTAAGGGTTCCCGAACTGACTAGATCCGATTTGCATGCAGTCTATCAATGCGAAGTGAGCAACAGCAATCAGCAGCCACCTTTGATCGTAAAAGTGACAGTGGAAATGTTTTTGAGACCGCTCGAAGTTACACTAATTGATCCGTTTCGCTTTAATCAAACTTTCAGTGCTGAAAAGAAGTACGAACTGATCTGTCGATGCAAAGGATCAAGGCCGCCGCCTATAATCTCTTGGTGGAAGGTATGTCATCTTTTTTTGTTTTATGTTTTCTCTGTTTAATTTGATTGTTTACATAAGGTGTAAATTATTAAGATTCTTCGCAGGGTAAGTCATAACTATTGGGAGATAGATTAAGTACAGATTATTTGGACCAAAATATAAAGATTGGACTAAACATATCTTAGTTTTATGTTGTCATGGTAATAAATGCAGACTGTTAAATGAGACATACTATTTTCGTTATTTTAGTAATAATTTCTTAAGATTTTTATAAATCGTTTTGAAAATTGAATAAAATGGTTATACCTGTTTGAAGTTGAAAGTTTCAACCGTTTTCGAGAAAAACGCTGTTTCCGAGCATTTCAATATATCATTACAGAGGCGACCGACTATTTAGACTATATTACGTTCTTATTCCAAACTTAAAAGGAGAATCATATTTCTTTTTCTTGTAAAAAGCCTTTGATAACATTTTGGATTAGTTTCTGTAGCGATGTGACCTTCAGTTTGACCGGCGCAAAGTAGAAAAGAACAGCACTAGGCCAGAATAGAAAGGAGACAACTCTCGGCCAAACTCTTAACCGGTGAGGAGCGTATAATCCGTACAATACTGCACGGAAAAATTAACCATTTTATCCACTACAATTGCATTGCTCAAATATGCTGTTATTGGTACCATTTACTACTGAAAATATCAACGAGATGTTTATTTATATTTGAAGACATATTAAAGGCTTTAAAGCTTGTTTTCGACTCGCACTACTATTCATGATTGAACAAAACTTTTGGCAGGTACTGTATGAAAAAGTATGTTTAATGAACAAGAGTCGAGAGTATAATGAGCTTTTTTCTCCCTACCTACGATTTTGCCAGCGCGCATCCAAGACAGTGGAAGGGGCACATCACGACAGAATGTAAATGAAGTATAGCTTGATATTAAATAGGAATATCGTGATTATTTTTAGTAGAGATAAAGATTAAGCGCCCAAGGAAGCAATCTAAATGAATTTGGTCAAAGTGTATCCAGTAGGTACTCTTTGAAAGATAGGAAGTGTTGAAGTCAATTTGACCTTTTAATAAAATTTTCTACCGGTTTTGGTCCTCGTTATTTTTATTATTGAAGTGTTGGTTTTTCCATTGACGAACAAACCACTTTATTTTTAATTCACTATTATTCAACTCAATTTGTATTTTTGGGATAATTTTTTGAGTAGAAATGTTGAAATAGATATTTTTTTACTGAATGCCCCGTATGGAAATTTCATCAGCCAGATAATTCAAAAACGCAACTCAATTTATTTTCGTTTAATAAAAAAATTGAGACGTTACAGAGTGAGTGGTATGTACTTAAGTAAACGCGATATGGATATAGAATCAGAACCGAATGAAAAAAGAAGGAAATTATCTTTGGTGTTCATTTCGGTTGGTTGAATGGATTTAAGCAGCTGTCTCGGATAAGAATGACTGTCATGTTTGTTCCGGGATCTTTCTGGGAGAAAATTAATCACCCGAGACAACATTCTAAGTTAGAATATTCACGGTGGCAGCGTTGAGTTGTAACAAAAGAATGCTGCCAACGTAAGCACTTAAGTGGAAATCTATTGCGGAAAATTAATTAATGATTGAAGGTCCGGGAACTCGATTTTTAGTGGAAATTTTCAAGAGTTATCGACATAACACCGCAGTGTTTTTCACGTCGGACGTTAATTTAATAATATTTAACAAGGTCTGAGTGCTTAAATGATTGGCACTCGTTAAACCAACCGAATCTTTGTTAATTAAAAGAGCTCGCATTAAGTTCCCACTATTCTCTTCTTTATTCTATGAAATACTTCTATGTCACAGATAGAAAATTTATTAAGACCTATATCCTCTCCCCATATACTCAATGATGCGCTTACCTAATTAGTTTTAGAAGAGGAACTATGAAAAAAAATACTGATACTTAGTTTAACACTTGCTGCATGAATCTGAGCGAGTAAACAAATGACTGATTGTGAACATTGTTCCTATTGTTATACGAGGTCTGCTCAAAAAGTATCGCGAATTTTGTGTTTTTTCAAAAATGATTTATTTATTCATGAATATTTATTTTGTTCCCTTCAAAGTAATCCGCATCAAATACTATACACTTGTGCCAACATTTTTTCTAATCCTTGAAGCACTCCAAAAAATCATTTTTTGTGATCTTGTTTATCTCCTCAATCGTAGCGTAGCGTGATCCTTTCAAGGGCCTCTTCAGTTTCTGGAAAATAAAGTCACAGGGGGCCAAATCTGGGAAATACGGTGGCTGCAGCTTTATTACTGTGTTGTTTTTGACCAAAAATTCACAAGCAACGATGTGTGAACAGGGGCGTTATCATGGTGCAAAAGCCAATTTCTTTTCTTCCACAAATTCAGGCGTTTCTGGCGGATTACTTCGCGCAAATTGCACATAACTTTATTCTTTATTGACCGTTGCAATCGAAGAAAACTGTAAACAAAACCTTCACATTCGGCCCAACCAGACACACTTTTTTCGGTCATTGGTGCGTGCGGCAGCTTCCATTGGGATGATTGAGCTTTGGTTTCACGTCACCAGTTATGACCCTCTGGAGCAAATTTGGATCGTAGCAGACAAAGTCTAACAGCTCCTTAGCAATGTTAATGCGATGCTTTTTTTGGTCGAAATTGAGTAATTTCGTGGCAATCCATTACATGCCCAAATCATTCGTAAAAATCGAATGGCAGGAGTCAATCGATATGTTTAGGTCCTCAGCAACTTCTCTAACGGTGATTTGACGATTGCCTAATACTATTTTCTTCACTTCATCAATTTATTATTGATGTAATAATTGATATTTTAACAAGATTTGATAAAAAGTAATGTACTATTAATTACGTTGTTAAATATGCGTTAAGAACACCCCGCTATTGGTGTATCAGTCCTGTATAGTTTGATTACTATTTTAAAACCTCATATTCCACGTAAAATATGCGAGTTGGATAGATAACGTCATTTTAAGCCCATTTCGCTTCCATATAACGATCACATTTTCCCGGCAAACATAGCCACAGAGAGAGTTTTCGCGCAGCAACTGCAAGTTCTGATTGGTCCTCTGCTCTTCAACCTATACCCTCTAGGTTAAAGCACGTTATTTTGGTTTCCTGGACAAACATACGACCCGAGCTGTCACATCGGAGCAGTTCGTTGTCGTTGAATAGCAGAGCTGTTAAAACGCCCCATAAATTGACAGCAGAGCTTTCACGCTGTTGTTCACTGGCGATGACATGAGATGGAGCAGAAGAGTGGAAGAAGTGACATCAGTTTTAATTTCTATTTCAACAAGTATTAATGTTATATGTTTACGAGAAGAAAATGCTTTATAAGTATATTAAATAGTCTTATTTACGCAAAAAAAATGATAATTCGAATAGTTACTGATATAAAATTATAAATATTTTTATAGATGACATTAAATCCGGATGATACTTGAAAACAAATAAATTATCATCTAATGGTATAATGAAAGGTCAACTTGTAACTTTAGTTAAATTGCAACCTGGCATAACTCAATCCCAACCTAACCTACGGTAATTTTAAGAAATGATAAAACTACTACTCACTTCGCTCGTGTTGTCTTTAACTATAGGGTTGTTCGGAAAGACATTTCGTTTTTTTTTTGTAGAAATGAAAGACAGTTTTCGTATAATAAACAAATACTTTATTAAATTATATATTGACTGTTCTGGTCCAACACCTTTTGCCATCTTTCTGGTAGTAGCATAATTCCACGCTTATAAAATTTTTGATCTTTGCTGGCAAAAAACTGATCGACGAGGTTTTTGACCTCCTCATTTGAGGTGAAGGTTTTACCGTCTAAAAAATTTTGGAGTGACCGGAACAAATAATAATCCGATGGTGCCAGGTCTGGAGAATATGGTGGGTGTAGCATTGTATCCCATTCAAGCTGTAAAAGCTTTTGGCGAGTGACCAAACTTGTGTGAGGTCTCGCGTTGTCTTGGTGAAACACTACACCTTTCCTGTTGATTAGTTCTGACCTTTTCTGTTGAAGTGCATCATTCAGTTTGTCCAGCTGATGACAGTAGACTTCCGAATTAATCGTTGTGTTATCCGGTAAAAGCTAAAAAAAAACGATTCCTTTAAAATCCCACCAAACAGACAGCATCACCTTTTTTTGGTGAATATCGGCTTTGGAAATGGTTTGAGCCGGTTCATCTTTTTTGCTCCATGACCTCTTGCGTTTGACGTTGTTGTATACAACCCATTTTTCGTCCCCAGTGATGATGCGCTTCAAAAACGGATCATTTTCGTGACGTTTGAGAAGCGAATCGCAGACGTCAATGCGGCGACACAGATTTCTCTCTGTGAGAACATGGGGAACCCATACATCGAGCTTCGAGGATAATCCCAGGCCTTTCAAGTGGTCATAAACTGTTGAATTTGATAAATTTAACCTCAATCCGATCTCACGTGTTGTTATTCGCCGGTTCACATCAACTAATGCCTTTATCGCGTCTTTATCAGCTTCAACCGGCCTTCCCGAACGTGGTGCATCTTCGACATCAAAATTGCCGGATCGAAATTTAGCGAACCAGTTCTGGCACTGGCGTACTGTCAACACACCTTCTCCATACACATCAGTCAATTTCTTTCTGGCTTGAACAGCATTTTTACCCTTTCTGTAGTAAAACAGTAAGATATGTCGAAAATGCTGCTTATCGCTCTCCATATTTAAAAGGGCACCAACCAAAAACTACTGCGTAGAATCAATTGGAATTTTTCACACACAAGCCTTGCTATATGAGCTCTCAAAGCATATAAAAATTATACGGCTTAAATGTGAAGTTGGGTGCAAAAGAATACAATTAAATCCTCTGTCGGGAAAAAACGAAATGACTATCCGAACAACTCTATATTTTAAGCTTATGATTACCACCAATTAAACGAAAGCTTTAAATTCAATTAGGTTAGGATCATAATTTGAAGATAGGCAACACTTTTTTTTGTTTACACGGTT